TGCTGACAAAGATGCTGAACAGTACCCGTCCTATCTTCAGCCTATCTAATGACAGGATCAGTGCCTGTAGATTTTTTTTTTTTTAAGTTTAGTTTTCTACAACTGGCAAAAATGTACCTACAAAGTCATCATTTATAATGAAAAAGATTCTACATGATTTTTATTTTCTCACCCTCTTTCAAGCATGCCTATTTCAGGAAAACAAAAATGAGAGTGGTCAGTGTGACACAGCAGAACTGCCACCTAAGAAACTACAGTTCTCCACCAGGTATGAGTTTAAATTATTTCCTTAGTGTCAGGGATTGCTCTAAAAATGAGTAAGAATACTTTCTAAGTTGTGTTTTATGGTGTTCTTTGGTTATTATTTATAGAATTTTAAGCGCAAACAGGGCAGTTAAAAGGTTGAAGGGCTGAAGTGTTTTGTATTGCTGCTCTTTTCTCACGTGGTGAAAAGCCTTCAGAAAATCAGAAAAAGGTACAGATGTGTAAGAAGTTAGGTGGGTTGTGAAGTGTGCTGGAACCCCTGTCCAGTTGCCTGAAGTATTAACTGGTTGTCAGGTAACTGATGATAGCCAGCCCGTTGGACAATGTGAGAAAGACAGGAATCTGATTAGCAGAAGATTTAAGTTATTAGTGTATTTTCGTGGCAGACTCAGGGTAAAAGAGAGTAAAAAGGAGATGCACGGAAACCAAAATTTCGGTTAAAGGAATTGTTGCTGTTTTTTGAGTAGCTACACTGAGACTGAATGGGAATTGACTGATAAAAGGTAGTGTTGGGGCTCAGGGCTGCTTTTTCTGCATCAGGCTGGGGATGGGAAGAAAACAGTGCTGACTGGTGAGTAACCCACTTCTTTTTAGAAATGATAGAAGGTTAACGCTTTCAGCACTCTGTATCTTAGCAAAAGCTGTTAACCTGCAGTCGTGTGCCCGAGAAGAAGTCTTACCTCTCCTCGGCTGCTGCTGTCAGCATAGCCCCTCTTGCTGCGTGTCACTGTTCATGCACGGTTGTCGGTGCGACGCCCTTGCTGTCTGCTGCGTTTACCCCCAGTTCTGCTGTGCCCAGCGCTCCCTGGGTCACACGCAGGCAGAGCTTCGTTCCGTACACAAGAAGATACCGCGGCTTAGACACGCAGGACATCTCAAACATCCTAATGCGTTGCTTTGTGGGTTACTTTAGAAACGGGAAGGGGAAAAAGGCAGTGTTAGTTGGAATTTTTATTTGGGATGGTGGGTGCTGGTGAACTTCCAGCCTGCTACCTTGCTTCTCCGAAGATCAGTCTTTCCCCTCATCGAGATGTTGACCTGTAAGATACCTTTTTAATGTCTTTCTGATAAGAGCAATGATCCATAGGTGGTGAAGGAATGCTAGTTTGAATTGCTGAATTCTGTTTAGCTTATCAAAGGTAAACCGAAGTACTAGGAAAGTGAGCTCCTGAAACACAACTTCAGTGGTTTACGTAACTGAATTATAGGTTGGTTTCATAAAAATTTGCTTGGCAGCTTGTTTTCCAACTAAGGAGGGTGTGAGAGAGGAAATATCTTTCAAGAAAGCATTGAATTAAAACTCCTCAGTCACATGCCGTCTTAACCTAGGTCAGTTTACGTTTTCTCCCTGGCAGTTATGCTGTCTAGCTGTAGTGCTTAAAGTAGAAGTTGGTTTTGAAATTTGTTACACAGTTGCCAGTTCAGACGAGCGTCTGCATTACAGTTGTCTTGAACTGGCATGTTTTGTTAGTGCTTCTGCAGAGTGAGATTTTTTACTGTACTGGTGGTACTTTTCTGTGTCGGCTTTTTCCTGTTGTTTCTCAATTACAAGTATTTTGAAGAGTTTCTCTCTCTTTTAATAGAGAGAGATATTTATTGAAAATTAGGTACATGCCCTTAGAAATTTAAGGTTGTCATGAGTTGCTGCTCTTTTTTTTTATTTTTAAATGTAAGATTTTTAGGAATTCTCTTAAGTATATTTAATTTTATAAAAATCTGTAATTCCTACATGGGGGTCAGTCTTACAAATGCTTGTTTTGTGTCTCTCCAGGAAATGTTAAGTCTCTGCGTTCTGTCATTAATCCTCCTATGTCCAGGTACGTCACGCTGGCTTATTTTTCAGGTGGAACCGACAGTCAGAGCAGTCGATGTGACTGAAAGTCCTGGGTTGTTGCTGTGCCCATCACATGCAAATTTCATGTGCGTGTTCTGACTTAAAGTTGGCACTTCCTTACTTCTACCCTTCCGACACTTCAGTGTAGAGCAGTTGTCGGTGTCAGAGGGGTCTTGGGCTGTCTTGTTTACATCATCAGAGCCACAACTGGGCTCTCAGGAAAGCTCCAAATCCATGGTGGGTGCCGGGAGCTGAACCAGGGGGAAGGGATGTCTTTGCAGCTAGACCACCGCCGTGTGGTGTTTGCGTTCGTGGGAGTGCTGAGCCGCATTCCGTGACAGCCTTAGTAATGAGGGCAAGGTAATTAGGGGCTGAGCTGCCGAAGGAGTGGCGTGGGGGTGAAGTTCCCTTGGAAGAGTGCTGCTGTCCCGAGGGCGAATTCAGCTGGCATCAGTGGTGCATGTGGGGGCCGACCGCAAGCCTGTGATGTGTAGAGCCAGTGAAGGGGTTTGGGAAGCTACTGGCGTGGTACTTCAGTAAGAAAGACTTGGCTGGAAGGAATCGAGGACAACTTCATGGGAACTTGGATGCTGCATTTGGGGCGTAAATGGTATATATGGAATGGATTGTTTCAGGCATTAGGGGTTGGGATGGACATGAGGGTGAAGGGGCTGCTTCTGCCTGTGGGGAGGGCGGAAGGGTGAGGATGAGGATGAGAAGTGGCCTTTCCCCTGAAGAGTGGAAACCTGTTCCAAAACTCTTGAGTGCCACTGGTCTCAAGAAAATCCACCGTTTCAGTGCTAACGTACTTCAGTATTGGAGCATACATCTTATCAGACGGGCAACAGAGGAAGAATATTGCTCATCTGGTATGCTTTTCTCAGCAAATATTGATTGTTTATGCAATATCACCAAATAAAAAATTACCGCAGTAAAAGCAACGTTTTCGCTTTATGCAGAATCCGAAACATCGGCATTATGGCCCACATCGACGCGGGGAAGACTACAACAACAGAGAGGATGCTGTATTACTCTGGATACATAAGAGCACTTGGAGGTGAGCAACGCTTTTTGCGCTTCAGTGGCGTGGAGAGGTTTGGAGGCATGCAGTAAACATGCAGTGCAGTTGGAGGTTGCCGGTGGGATACTTGGCATAGGAGCCACTTGTACACAAATTGTGCTACGATACAGTGAAATTTTACTAAAAGCTTCGTTACCTTCTGCGGTGGTTGTACTTTAAGAAATCACAGCTGGGTGTTTTTCTTTTGGAGCATGGTGTTTTGTTTGGGATTCGGGTGGAGGTTCCCCTTGTTTGACTTGTTGCTCTTTGGCCGCTGTGGTAAAGCTGTTTTTTCAGCTTTTTTCACCTGTTTCAGGTTAATGAAAAGCAACCATTTCCTTTGAAAGCCATAGCACAGGAAGAACCCCTTGCTTCAGCAACTCTCAGAGATTTCTTCATGATTGAAAGGGTCACAGCAGCCTCCAGTTTTGCTGCTTTTTGACCTTTTAAGTTTAATTCCCTCTTCTGCACTGTGTATGGGTGTGTTGGAAGATGTTAGGCGTGTGGAGCGGTGGAACTCGGTGGCCTGCTTCTTTAAAAATGTGGAATTGCTTTTCTTTTTGTTAAAAACCAAACCCCACAAGCAAAACCCAGCCTCTTACTTGTTTGTTTTGGTTTGGTTTTGCTTTGTTTTTCACTTAGGTTTGGTTTTTAACATAATTACCTTTTAATTACTAAAGTTTAAAATGTCAGTCACATTCCATATGACCAGTGCAGCCAGTTATTTTGAAACTGTGATTAGTTCACGGTTTTGGACTCTGCTTTAGTATTTAAGTTTCTCTTGGTGTTACTAGGATTAAGAACAGCAAGAAGATTGTTGGAATTGCTTAGTTTTGACTTACAGAGCATTTGTTCCCTGGAAAGGGAGCCTGGGTAAATTAGATGACATGATAATTTTCTGAAAAAGGCTAGTTTTTGTAGCTGATACGTATAGAAAAGGGACAGTGTTTCCAAATCTCTCTTGGCATCTGTATTCCAAGTCAGTTTCAACTTTTGAATTATTTACCTACCCAGCTGTAATCCTTCTTCCTGTTCACAGATGTTGACGACGGGGACACGGTGACAGATTTTATGGTCCAAGAGCGAGAACGTGGTATTACCATTCAGTCTGCTGCTGTGACGTTTGACTGGAAGGACTACAGGATCAACCTGATTGACACCCCGGGTACTACACTTCAGCAGTATTCACGTTGTTCAGGGATAGTAGATGAGTTGGGGTGTTGTAGAACATAAAGCTAAGTTTTAAATACAGTGCATTTCTTGATTGGCTTAATTGTGTCAGTGAAAAGGCCTATGCTGAGCTCTGTTCAGCTTTGGCTGATTATTGTCTGCCAGTGCCCAATCTTGCTAAAGTCAGCTCAGACATTTCCACACTAAATGGCTCTCAGTTCTGGGATTGCAGTGTAACAGTCTTGTGTGTTTCAGGGACTGATGGGGGTATTTCTCTGAGAATGAAGACAGGGGATTTTTTTGACATGATTTAAAAAACAAAACAAAATATTTAAAAAATCATGATGACTTGTTGATGTTGCCTGCTTGAATGATGATGGTATAAAAGGGAGATTATTTTTTTTAGGTCATGTGGACTTTACAGTGGAAGTTGAGCGTTGCTTGAGAGTTCTGGATGGAGCAGTGGCGGTGTTTGATGCTTCAGCTGGTGTTGAGGTAAAAATAACTGATAGATTTCTTAAAAAAATTTTCTTTGTCTAGTGACTTAAATCAGACTGTAAAAATAATAATGGTAGTACAGCGGCCTTGCTCTGTATTATCTCTTGTGATGCTTTGATTAAAAATTCAGCTTCAGGATGCTGAGCATTTAATTTCATGTCCTGTAATATACAGGAATTTCCATGGTAATAAGGGGCAAATAAGTCGGATTCCCATTAAAGTCTGGGGTGTTTTACTGTTTTGTCCCTGTTTTTTACCAGTGTCGATTGAGGTGAATGCTTCTGGCTAGCCCTGCCAGTGGAAAGAAGTATCTGTGTCTCGTTTTCAGATTTCATGTAGAAAAGAAGTAGTTTTCTGATAGAATTTCTCCCTCCCCAGTGGCCTATTTAACCTGCCCTTTGGGGCATAGTGCAGAGAAGGTGGAGGCAGGCTGGAATGTGACTTTACAGCATGAAATACTTAAGTGGTTCAATCCTGTGGAAAAGTTACATGTTGTGAAATCACTGTGTTCCATGGGATATACCTCCTTCCTAGATGAAGGATGAGAGAACACTAGATCAGTGTGAGTCACATGATTTAACTTGCTAGTGGAAAGCATTTAGGAGCCATCATATAAGAACCTGAAGTGAGTAACAGCCCCCACCCCCAAAAACAGAATAATTAGATATGCTTGTGGTTTTTTTTTTCTAAAAATGCATGGGAAATTCTTGCATTATTTCCATGTATTGGTAAGAGACTGTTTCTGAATCTGAACGGATTTTCATGCATACCCGTTTTGACTTTCAAATAAAAATGCATATCATAAATGGCTCAGCAGCGCACAGATTCCTGGCAAAACCACAGTAGTTTTTTGCACTGTATGTGTAGCCTTAGCAATGCATGCCTGTATGTGCTTAACTGACTTGGCAATAAAGTCTTGGGCCATTACTGGGTGTTTTTCCTTATATATTCCCTGCAATGCTTACTTTCTCCCCATGTTCCTTTGCCTGTGTGCCCTTAAGTGAAGGAGGGGCACTGACAACAGCTGGGAGACGAGATGAGGCAAAGCTGCTTGTGGAGTTTGTCTGCGCTTCATGATATGGGATTGTCGTGACACCTTCACCACGATTCCCTTCTGTTCCTGTTTTGTCTTTTGCTTTAGGCCCAAACCCTGACCGTGTGGAGGCAAGCGGACAAACATCAGATACCGCGAATTTGCTTTTTGAACAAGATGGACAAAAACAGGGCAAGGTATTTAGACCGTTAGTTTAGCCATTGCTAAAAGCTGTGCTATCTAAACAAGCTAAAAGTTTTTTCTGTTAAGTGTAAAGCAAGCCAATTACGTCAATAGTTGCTGTATACATCTTTGGTAATGCAGATGCATATTTTTGTGTAACTGCAGGACTAATTTTTGCGATAAATAAGGAATGATAAACTTATTTTACGATGCCATTAAGTTTTGTGTAACTTAGTATCTGGTTGTTTTACATAGTTTTACATACGCTGTTGAGAGTATCAAACAAAAGTTGAAGACAAAACCTTTGCTTTTGCAGGTAAGCTTAGAAAAATCAAATGTCTGCTTTCCTTCAAACTGAACTGCTTTCTTAATTTTTTTGCAGCTGTCTAAAATCTCCATTCTGTTTGCAGTTGCCCGTTGGGGAAGCCAAGACTTTCAGAGGACTGGTGGATGTTGTGACTAAGGAACAGATAATTTGGAAACCCACTTCTGATTCGGATGATGGAAAAAGTTTTGAGCAAAAGCTGCTGCTGGAGGCTGATGATCCCAACCTGTTCCAGGAAGTTCAGGATGCCAGAAATACCTTAATAGAACAAGTAAAGTTCTAAAGTAAATAAATGATGAATTTAAAACTGTTATTGAGGACAATAGAAAAGTAGGCCGAAAGGGACCTCTGGAGGTGTGTGGTGCTCAAGCAGGGCTAACTTCAGCATTACATCAGGATGCTCAGGCCTTGTTCAGTTGAATTTTCAAGTCTATAGGGATGTAGACTGCCGTCTGTCTCGGCAGCTGTTCCCAGGCCTTGATCATCCTTGTCGGGAAACATTCTTTCTTTTTGTCCAACAGGAATTTACCATATTGCAAGCTGTGACAGCACTGCTTGTCCTTTGTACCTCTGAAAAGAGTCTGGCGCTTTTCCCTGAAGCAGGCCCACCACCACCACCACCATTTCAGCTAGTTAAGAGGCAGCATTTGCATCCTTCTTTAGCCTCTTCAGGTTGGACAGACTCATCTCTCTGGGGCTGCAGCTGCACTCCAACCACCTTAGTGGTTTTCCACTGGACTTCGCAGAGTTTGTCAGTCTCTTTCGTGCTGGGGAACCTAAAAGCAGCCAGCACTTTAGATGCAGCTTCACAAGTGCAAGGTGGGGGTTACTAACCGTGTGCCCTGATCCGCTGGCTGTGCTCTTGCCGACGCAGCCCAGTACGCAGTTAGCCTTTGTCACTGGAAGGGGATGCTGCTGATCCATGCTGACTTGCCCAGCAGGACCTGCTGGTTGACTTCTGCAGCGCTGTTTCCTAGCTAGTTGATCCCCACTCTGTATCAGCGCATGGATTTGTTCTTCCCCAGCTGCAAGAATGTGCATTTGCACTCACTCAGCTGATTACAAGTTTTTTTCACTTCCTTTCCATCTGTCAAAAGACACCTCCTGCGCATTGCATTTATACGTGATGCCAAACTGTGCTGAATACAGGAGTTGGGCTCCCTGGCTGTACAGTGCCTGTGTAAAGTGGAGAATACTCCCTGGTTTATAAACAGGGAACGGAAGAGAGCAGACAGCAGGCTTAGCAGTCAGTTGGCTAACATGGCATCCTGTACTGTCCCAGGTGCCAAAAGGTACGTGGGACGTTCACACGAGGCCTGGCAGATGTGAGCCAGAACCTACAGGATATCCATGCCCTTCAGCTAGAAGCTGGATGGGATGTTGCAGGCTGCTTAGAATGGCACTGAATACTGTGTTAGAGGCGGCTAAATTCCACCCTAAACCTAATTCCAGATCCATCAAAAAAAGTCCATGGGAGAGATGAGGAAAGAACAGTATCAACATTTCTTTAACATAAATTGTCATACTGTGAAGCTAAGAAAGATAATAGAAATGTGGTGCGCTTGATACCAGGTTTTGCACAGTTGGCAGTTTAAAAGGGGTGAACAATGGAAGAATTAATGGAAGGAAAAGAATAATTTGCCTGTGGAGCAGTGCAGAACATTTGAAATTGTTGGTCCAGAGCGTTTTTCTTCTCCCCTTGTCTGGCATTGTAAGGTCCCACATTATTTCGTGTGATTTGTGTAATTATATAGGAAGAGTTGGTTGTACCTGAGAGACTAAGCAAGTCTCCTCTCCAAGTAAAAAGCTTTTGTAAGGAAACATGTGGGAGGTTAACAACTCTGTTTATCTTGGATATCGATCCATTTTGCTGGAAGGGTTGCCCTCCATGCAACTTTGTGCCCGTGCATAAACAGATGATGCTAGGCTTTCAGTTTCCTTTGAAACATCAGAATCAGTGAAATCCATTTAGTATTGCTCTAGTTCAGTAAAATGCATACACAAGCTGGTTTTCAAAATTTCCAGGTTTTAAATGGGGATGTTATTACTCAGCCTCTTATCTTAAGAAATACATTGTCAGATAGAGAGCTTTGTAAGAACAGGATTGTTTTTTTTCCCTTTGTTTTTTGCGCCTTCCTGAAGCAGGAAGGGGTGGGCCAGTAGTGTGGTGATTGAGATAACCTGGGTTTTTGTAAAATATTTTTTATATCCTTTCTGTTCTATTCATACACCTTATCAGAAACCCTGTAAAGTTTAGGAATTCTAATACCAGCCGCCTTGCGCACTTTGCTTTCACTTAATTAAATTAATGCTTTCTTTTATCTCTCATGGTTTAACTATTAGCTTGATTAGATTTCTAACTGCTTATTATTCCTTATAGCCCCTTTCAGTACCTGAAGGGGCCTACAAGGAAGCTGGGAGGGGACATTTTACAAGGGCCTGTAGTGACAGGACAAGGGGTAACGGGTTTGAACTGAAAATGGAGAGGTTTAGATTAGATATCAGGAAGAAGTTCTTCACGGAGAAGGTGGTGAGGCACTGGAACAGGTGGCCCCGAGAAGCTGTGGATGCCCCATCCCTGGTTTCAAGTCCAGGCTGGATTAGGCGTGGAGCACCCTGGTCTAGTGGAAGGTGTCCCTGCCCATGGCAGGGGGGTTGGAACTAGATGGGCTTTAAGGTCCCTTCCAGCCCAAACTGTTCTATTATTTTATGTTTCTCTTATTTTATCATTCTGTGGTTATCAATGATTCATCTCAGTGTTTGGTCAGCCAGTAGAGGGGGCACGTGCCTTCCTGCACTTAGGGTGTCCCCAGTCTATGACAGTGCAGGGGTGTATGTGAGATGAGGTTTAAAGAGTAATTAATGTATTTGTCAAACTAAGCGGTACAGTTTGAAAACACAGATGAGCCCTTGGATCTACACTAAGCCTTTGCCATGGAGGAGGTCAGAATGCCCTGGAGGCTTGTCTGTGTTTTCCCAGCTGTCTATCCGCTGGCTGGAAAAGGTTACTTGCTGTTTGCTCTAGACTTGCCTTGTTTGCAGGTCTGAAATAGGTTCGGTTATACCCGTCATGGCTGTCACTGGGCAGCCACAGGCTTTCTCAGCTGCAGGGAGAAGTACAAGCATCCTCTCTCCCACTGATGTTTTGCCTGACAGCAGCTTTATGAGTTGATTTTTTTTTTGACCCTGTACTTTCCTGAAACCTTCATTTCCTTAGTTTTCGGTGGCTTGAGTTTGTGATCTCTAATGTTTTTAAAGGCTTTGTTCCTGCCCTTTTTAGTTATGTTTCCTAAATAACTAAGATTTGTGACTTACCTGTGAAACTACTGTATGCCAAATAATAAAGAACTATTCTGTTGAAGGTTGCAGATCTGGATGATGAATTTGCTGAACTGGTTCTAGGAGAATATAGTGAAAATTTTGACTTAATACCAACTGACAAGGTAATTTTTACTTCTTGTTATTTATAAACAAGTGTTTGCTAGCTGTTTTTCTGGTTTATTCCTTTGGCATATGCAGAGTATGATTTTGCAGATACGCCTTTTTTATCAACGAAAAAAATCACACCAGCTTTCGTGGTGAACTTGTACTGTGAATTTAGGACAAACTGTATTCAAGCTTAGTATGAATTTTATACAATAATGTGCTATGCTTTTCAGATGTGCTGGGCACAGCTTTAAAAGCAGGGTACCTTTGTTCAGGAATGTTTATTTTTTTGAATGTTGGGCTGCTGCAAAAGCGTCTGGGGAAAGGTGAATGGAATTTCCGGGTAGAGTCAGTGCAGTTCATGTCCGAGATGCTGATGCTTGGTAATGGAAGTAGCATCTCAGCTGCGAGGAATCGGTTGGATCGTCAGACACTGCATTTTGGAAGGGGTGAGGTACAACATTCTGAATTAAAAGGACTGTTGGAAACAGCACAAGAACAGCTGCAGATCTGTACGAAACATTTTGAAATCTTAAAAGCAGTGTCCTAGGTTTTAGCATCTAAACATTTGGGTTTATGTTTTGGAGCTCATTAAAAACAGCGAAAGGAGTTTGAATCAGCGACGTTACATTTCCAAGCATCTTAACCTTTGCGGATTTGTTCGGAGTTATCTGATAGCTGGAATGCAATTTGTGGCTGGATTGTAGTTCCCGTGTTAACAGAAAGTATGTATTTTCTTTTGCAGTTACGGTCTGCTGTCCGCAGAGTCACGATAGCTCAGAAAGCGGTACCTGTCCTCTGTGGCAGTGCGCTGAAGAACAAAGGGGTGCAGCCACTACTGGATGCGATTACTATGTACTTGCCCGCACCTGATGAGCGTTCATATGAGTTTCTGTAAGTAGAAGGAGAAAAGGAGAGTCAGGAAAAAGGAAGAATAAGTAGGAAAGCATAAAAGGAGAAAATAAAAAAATATCAACAAAGCATTCATATCTTTAAAAATGTTCACTGTTTTTTGGTATTAAATAACAGTCAGGATGTGCAGACGTAAAAATACACTTGAGTACGGAACCTGCTTTGGCCAGTGCAACTGGAATCATATGCCCAAATCTCCAGTTGTCAAACCTGTGCTTTAGAGTTCTGATGTCTGCTTTTAATCTAAGGGTTCTGCCGTTTTACAAAATTAGGGTCTAGGGATCATCTTCCATATTGTCTGAGTCACATGACATCTTACATCTCCTGCTGGAGCTGGAACTGCGTAGGTGAAAACTGCTTTTTTGGTCTAAATGAGGATTTTTTAAAAATCTGCCCCTATTAATAGGACAGTAAGAAACGTGACGCTTCTTAAATGAGTGGAAATTTAGGTCAATGTGAGTTTGAGGGGATTAATCCTGCAAGTATGCTTTTTGTTGTGCTTTTTGTTTTGCAGGCAGTGGTACAAGGATGACCTGTGCGCCCTCGCGTTTAAAGTTCTCCAAGACAAATGTCGCGGACCGCTGGTTTTTGTTCGCGTTTACTCAGGTTCACTGAAACCTCAATCGGCTGTATATAATATTAACAAGAGTTGCACGTGAGTAACATAGGGGTGTGGCGTTGGAATGTCTGTTAGAAATCCTGAGTGATTCAAGAATTCCATTTTCAGGGAGAGAATGAGCCGGCTGCTCCTGCCTTTTGCTGATCAGCAGATTGAAATACAGACACTAACGCCTGGCAACATTGCCCTTACTGTTGGGTTAAAACAGGTAATAGGAAACACCGGTTCTACAAGGGAGTTTCTTTCACGGGTGTGCTTCCCACTTCTGCTGTGTCTCAGACGTACTCTTGATTATCGTGACATATGCTGAGTTGCTTCATTTGAAGTACACGTACTTCCTCCTAAAACGTACAAATGTCAGTAATTGGCCTGGGAGATGTGGTGCTCGTCACATGGAAAGGGCGGAAACTGAAGGTGTATTTCAGTAGGGTTCTGAGCTCCTGTTCATATTGTGACCCTTCAAATACAATGTTAACACCACAGAGAGACCTCCCGTGGGGACGGAGAGCGATGTTGTGAATAAATTACCCCAAACCAACAGTTTAACTTAAGTTCAAATTAGTTTGTTTCATTTGCTTCTATTATTTTACTACTTCAGTGTTTCATTGTCTGAACAGGCTGCATAGATCTCATTTGCACAGAATTTCTAAAATGTAACCAACTTAGGCATGCAATCCTCATTGCAGCCTTCCAGTACCTGAAGGGGCCGACAAGGAAGCTGAGGGGGACTTTTTGCAAGGGCCTGTAGTGACAGGACAAGGGGTAACGGGTTTAAATTGAGAGCGGGGAGGTTTAGATTAGATAGCAGGAAGAAGTTCTTCATGGAGAGGGTGGTGAGGCACTGGAACAGGTTGCCCAGAGAAGCTGTGGATGCCTCATCCCTGGAAGTGTTCAAGGCCAGGCTGGATGAGGCTTTGAGCAACCTGGTCTAGTGGAAGGTGTCCCTGCCCATGGCAGGGGGGTTGGAACTGGGTGATCTTTAAGGTCCCTTCCAACCCAAACCATTCTGTGATTCTGTGATTCTATGCATAAGCAAATTTTCATTTACCAATACTGTTCTCTGTGGCTTTATATCTTGACTACTAAGTTAGGTTTAAAATGCAGTGAACTGGACAGAGGAATGTTAGGCTAAATCTGAGCACAATTTTTCCTCTTCCAGATCATTTTAGTTATTTGAAGAGAGGAGTTACAGTAACTGTTTATAAATAAGTAAGTAAGGGGAGTTTAGCACAAGGGTTTTGAGGAAGAGAAGTGGTTGGGGTTTCTGTTGTGTTTTTTTGTTTGGGCGTTGTTGGGATTTTTCCTATCCCATCCTCTCCCTCTTGTGTGTCTTGTGCGTCACTGGCTGTTTCAGAGTGCCACCGGAGATACCATCGTGTCATCAAAGGCTTCAGCAGTGGCTGCAGCACGCCGTGCCGGAAGGGATGCGGGGGGAGAGAAGAGGTCTACCAGTGATGTAGAGAGCCTTCTGCTGGCAGGCGTTGAGATCCCCGACCCCGTCTTCTTCTGTACAATTGAACCCCCTTCACTGGCCAAACAACAAGGTACAGCATAGCTGCCTGGGAATAGGAGAAGATACCCTACAAACGAGATGTTCAAGCATAACGATATTCTCCTATGGAAGGAACAGTGCTCATCCCCAGTCCATGCACAGCTGATTGACATGAGCGAGTTGCACAAATTTATCAATCAGTGCTCTAGTAAGGCCCTTTTAGGTGATTTGCACAGATGATATGCTTTAGATTGTCGTTGCTGGTATCCTTTGCCATTACCACGTCAAGCAGTACTAGTAGTAGTAACTTCCTAGATTTGTGTCTAGAAATGTAGCAGTTCTTCATTTGAAAGTAGAGGCACTTTCATTTCCTCCCACTATGCTTAGTTCTGCTGCAGTCATGCTGGTGTGCTCTACAGCATATCCCGAGTACGGGTAACCTTGAAATGTGTTTGGGTTTTTCGTTTTTTAAGTCAGCACTTGCAGTTTTACTCTGCAGAGTCTTCACTTACCAAGACTTCTGTATGTCTAGTTAGGATTCACCCACACAGTGTGACCTGTCACCTCGCTGCCTTTCCCAAAAATCTGTACCAGAGGACTTGGTTCTATCTGACTGTTTTCAGTAATAGGTGCTTGAAACGCTGAATCTTCATTCCAACGAAGCTGAGCCTGGCTGTTGGTGGAGGGGAGGGAGGACAAGTACCAGTGTAGTGTGATGGAATGGAACAAGGTAGATTGCGGGTTTGGAACAGTATGTCTGCAGGCTGAGCCACTGGGCTGCAAGTTTTTCCTGGCTTTTTTTGGAGGGGGGGCAGTGTTGAATGTTTTGTTTTGTGTATTTGGGGTTTGGTTTGTTTTCTCACAGACTGTAAGGTAGATGAATGTGGCCTCAACAGTGAGTTTGTTGTTCTGTAGCTGCTTTCCTGTAGACGCTTTCCTCAGCAGTCAAGGTAACGAGGAATCAGAAAAAAAATAGTTTGCAATTGAAACTTTTCACATTGAACACGCCTCAAAATATTTAGGCAAATTGTGTAAGATTTAGTTGACTATTTTTTATCTGTAAAAAGGGAGCAGTACTTTTTACTGACTTGATGAAGCACTTAGGCATTCCATTCTGTCTTCACACAAGTACAAAATATCACTGTAAAATAGTATTTTTTAAAATTAAATTAAAGCACTCCATAACATGCAGTTAATTTGTGGAAGACAATCAGAGGTTGCAAGTTGCGTGTAGTTTGAGCTGACTTTGTTTGCCAAAATCTGTGCTTCTCTAGGGTCCTTCTGATTCCTCCTGAGAGTAAGATTTGACCTTATGAGGAAAGTGATGTTTAGACAGTCACTGTGATTCTCAAATTAATAAATTTTCCTTAGATGTCATGTTTGATATTTATGTGCAGACTTGGATAACGCACTGAGCTGCCTTCAGCGTGAAGATCCAAGTTTAAAAGTGAAGGTAGATCCTGACTCTGGGCAGGTAAGATGGATCTTCTATTCCTCACCTTGTAACCAAGCTTTATTGCAGAACTGTCAAGACCACCCTTCAGTTGCATATGGGGATTTTCTGGGACAGAGGACTCGTTAAATGTTCGTTTCATGCATGTGCAAAGTTCATGAGTTTGTGCGCTCGTGCTTCTTGGAGTAGAGGAAGTCATTCTGTGTTCCGCATGGTTTTGACAGTTCCGTGTTTTTAAAGAATTTGAATTACATAGTCGTTAAGATAATGTAGGATGACCTTTGTTACAGTGGTCGCAGTAGTGACCTTCTCACCCTTCTCATTTCCATGGTGTTTATGTCAGGTGACCCAAAGCAGTCCTGTTTTCTCTCTAGGCTCCTTAGAATTTGAAATATTTCTAAGAGACTATTAAGAGCACTCAGGTCCTTGCTTAAACAGGTTGTACGAAAACGTGAGTTTTGCATGTTTCTCCTCTTCTCCTTAACTCTCTTCTTACTAGACTATTCTTTGTGGCATGGGAGAACTACACATCGAGATCATTCATGACAGAATCAAACGTGAATACGGAATTGAGACTTATCTGGGACCTCTTCAAGTAGCCTACAGAGAAACCATCCTAAATGCTGCTCAGGCAACAGGTGAAATGACTGAATGGAAAGAACATCTTGTTTCTGGTTCCGTAGCTTGATTTACTTGGAATGAGCTTATGAGTAACTTTCAGATTGATTTTATGTATTAGGGTTTTTTCCACATGTTTTTTTTACTTCTCTTTCTTTTTTTTTTTTTTTCCCCTGTAGATATATTGGACAAAACAGTAGGAGATAAACGACACTTTGTAACTGCAGAGTTAGAAGTGAAGCCCAGGTTAGGGGAGAGAGCCACGACGAAAGCCGTCATCGAGTATGCTGCGAGTGTCATGGAAGTGCTACCCAAGGAACTCCAAGGAGCTGTAGAAAATGGAATTACAAATTCATGCATTCAAGGTAAAGGAGGTACTGTGACAACTACACTGGTCTGACATTCCTGTAAGAAGCAATTTAATACAGAATGACAGAATGGTTTGGGTTGGAAGGGACCTTAAAGACCATCTAGTTCCAACCCCCCTGCCATGGGCAGGGACCCCTTCCACTAGACCCGGTTGCTCCAAGCCTCATCCAGCCTGGCCTTGAACACTTCCAGGGATGGGGCATCCACAGCTTCTCGGGGCAACCTGTTCCAGTGCCTCACCACCTTCTCCGTGAAGAACTTCTTCCTGCTATCTAATCTAAACCTCCCCACTTTCAATTTAAACCCGTTACCCCTTGTCCTGTCACTACAGGCCCTTGTAAAAAATCCCCCTCCAGCTTCCTTGTAGGCCCCTTTCAGGTACTGGAAGGTGCTATAAGGTCTCCCCGGAGCCTTCTCTTGTTTCTAGGAGGAAAAACTCCTTGGTAGCTTGAAAACTAAAAGACAGTACTACATATTAACATTAGATGCAAAGGAAAATTCTGAAATTTCCTCAGCTACGAAAACAGCCCAATACTCCTTTCCCTGTGCCACGAATGGATGTCAGCATGCTGCTGGTTTTAAGGTTGATTTCTTCTCAGTCACTCACTAGTGAGCCTGGGGCTCTTTTGGTTTGCTTTTTTGATCTGGTATAAGAGATAAGGCATTTGCTTAATGACGTCACATCACTGTGATTTATGTGGCAGAAGTGGTTGCGGAGGCCAGTGTGTAATGCCACACTTCTGCCAGAGTTACTGAAGGGGTGGTTTTTATTTTTATTTTCAAATACGTCAAATCCATGAAAGTATACAATAAAAAGCCCTACCTAATTGCAAAGTATGGGCTTTCTAAAGGAATAAAAGCATTTTTCACATTTGATTAAAAATAGGAAGTATTGAATAACTTGTGGCCACAGAACTGTCCCCCACAGTAAAATTAACAGGTAGTGGATTGATAAATGAGAATTACTCTGGAAGCGGCAGCATGAGGTGGGGTTTTCTTCCCTGTTGCCTTGTTGGGTTGGAAAGCATCTCTCATCTCTGGATGTGGAACGAGCCTTGACTGCCTGCTTTCTTGAAGATGCTTCAGAACCTGTCCCCAGCATAAAATTCATGCTGTTAAGCACCTTAAAAATAAACAGATCGATGGATAGATTGTTCTGGCCATGCTCTCTGTGGGACAACAGCTGTAGGTTATTTCTGAGATGTGGTTCAGGCCTCCCATCCACTCTAAGAGAGTTTTTAGTCTGGTCAAGGGTCCTGGGTTGGAGGGAGATAACGTGCCTAGGAGGCTTAGACATGGTTCGTGCCTCATGGAATCGAGTTAACCCTGCAGTTTTGGTAGTGGGCTGGTATCCGGCCTTGCTGCGATCACGCTGTGTTGAAAAGGAAATTCGAGAAGGTACTCTGGCTTGTGCTTAAATGAAGGGTTTTGCTACGCTTTCAAGTGAGGTCTTGTTACAGCGTGTTACAGTATGTTAAAATATCTTCATTTTTGGCAGCGGTTGTGTGGATTAGCACGCTTGGGAACTTCTAGTTCTGAAAACTCTGTGCTTTTGGTAAAGAGTAAGAAAGTACGAGCCTGCATGCCTTTGTGTCCTTTGGCAACGCTGGATCGTGACAAAATCACAAAATGAGGAACAAGACCTATAGTCACACCTTTGTGGGGAGGAAGGGGAGGGACAGGGGAGAGAGGAAAGTGAGAAGCTTGGAATCAATCCTGAAACTTTTTTTGCATGTGTCTTAATATTCTGAAAAACAAATAGCTTTTTTACTTTTCCCTTTTTAAATTTGTTTTACCTAGGACCTTTGCTTGGATTCCCAGTTCAGGATATAGATGTGACGGTGCAATCACTGGTGGTGCATCCTGACACCTCCCACACGATGGTATCGGCCTGTGTCTCCCGTTGCGTGCAAAAGGTGCAGTGAAACTGTTAGCTGCCCTAGGCCACGGTAGCATCTATGTGTATCAGTATCTGGTACTTGCCCTTGGCTGGCAAGTGGAGGACTTTATAGCTTTTGGAAGTAGAGAATTTGAGAGGCACCGTTATGTAAGTACTTATGTCAGTTTTCTGGAACAAAAAAAAACCCCAGCGGTCAACATAACTCTCCTTCCCTTCCATCCAGGCTTTAAAAAAAGCTGGCATACAGATACTGGAGCCCGTGATGAACCTAGAAATCACAGTAAGTGAAGATCACCTCAGTGCCGTACTCGCAGACCTCGCACAGCGGAGAGGTAGTATTCAGGAAATCCAGAGTCGTCAAGATGACAGAGTTGTGGTTGCTGCTGTTCCGCTAGCCGAAATGATGGTACGTGATTATCTTAGCAGTGGTAAAACACAAAATCCGATCTTTTTAATATGCTTAAGAACAATTAGTCTTTAGTCTGCTTTTCCTGTTGTTACGGATGAGTAAGTTTGGAATGGGTATCTTTTATTGCGTTTTAATTATGGAAGGCGTGAATCAAGTGCCCACAAATCTCGTAGCGTTGTTGTGCCTGACTCAGGTTGTTAAACCAGCATGTTTTCAGCTAGGTCAGAGAAGTAGTAAATAATACTAAAACAGGTTTTTCAGGGAGTATTTTTTCAAGTGTGTTATTAGGTTGGCTCACGCATGCATTCCTCTTTTAGTACAGTAGTATTAAAAAACTAACTTACTGGTGTGTTGCAGTACATTTCTGTCTCTGACCTAAGCAGCTTTCTGTGCTAACTCATCTTCCCTTTACCCTAAACTGAGCGACGTCTTCTCTGTTTTGTCCAGGGCTACTCAACCGTTCTGCGTTCGCTAACATCAGGCTCCGCAACCTTCACCCTGGAGCTTGCCAGCTATCAAGGCCTGAACAGCCAAGAGCAGACTGCACTGCTTCAGAGGAGGATGGGGTTGGTGTGATGGCTTTACCGGGTGGAACAAGAAGGCACTTCCTATCCTCCCTGGTAAATACTTTCAGGGTCCTACTTACCTACAGCCCTGTGTTCTTCTGGGACCAACTGGTTGTGGTAAATGAAGAACGAGCAGCTGCACGAGCAGGCTGTCCTTTCAACTGTCCACGGGGAGGTGCAGGAGACTCTGTTCCTCTGGCACAGCCCTGTCACTGTGAAGCAGCTGAACCAGCGGCGCAACCACAATTTGCTGCTTTGCAAATTCTTATCTGACACAGACACCTGCAATGAGAAGGGATGCAAATCCTCTTCACAGAAACGAGCACTAAGTCCACCTTAGTGTGTCATTGGGACTGTTTCTTACTTTAGTAAGTAAAGCTTGTGAAGTTTATGGCTGTAGACGAAGTGAGTGTACAGTTCTGGGACTGTGTATCTTGATTTGTTTTCAGGTGAATAAAAGCATAGGGCATTTTAAACTGTACAGCTGTAAGTGTTACCTCCTGTAGTGTTAGAAAACAGAGCCAGAGTATAGGTGTAACTTCCACCTGAGTTTGCTTTAGCAAGTAAGTGGATTGAATGGTTCTGTGAGTAGAGTAAGATCTGTGCAAAAAATACAAGACAAGCAGAGTTCTCCCAAGACAGTGATCCCTACCCACCACCTCGGAATAGGTCGAGGGAGGATTTTTTCTACCTTTAGGAATGAGTGATTTAGGCTGTAATGGTTCTGATTTGCTGTGTGTTACAAGTTAGTTCTGACTTGCAGTCATGCGGTTACACATTAAAGTGGCAAATAAGATACTCTGAAATAAAAAGATTGTAAGACACTGTTTAAATAAAGAGCAAACTGTTTTATTTTCCCTCAACTTTAGAATATAAGGAAACTGGAATTGGTAATTCTGTGGTATCAAGTTTCTGGATTTCACAGTGAAGAATCCCTATTTCTAATGAAAGCTAATCCCCATAATTTTTATTCCAACAAGAATGTCAAGTAACTTTGTTTTTAAGAAGGGAAAATTTTAAGTCTTGGTTCAAATACCACACTGCATGTACCTATATTCACCCCCCCGAGGCACTTTCAGTCGACAGGCTGAAGTTCTTGCAGCAGTTACCGCCCTCTTGCTTCATGGGTGCAGTAGCCAACAAAGACAGGTTCGGCTGCTATGCCACGGCTGTTAAAATAAAGTGGAATATCTGTGATTATAATCAAACAACAGGCTGGTTGTGTAGACAGGAAGAGAGATACTGGCAATCTGTTTTAAACAAAATTGCTTCCAAGAAATAACAGGTGGCTTATTTAAGGAGTCAGATGGGCCCTATTCTACTGCACTTCAGTTAAGTGCTTTCCTCTGTTTCACTCAGGTGCACCAGGATATTAGAAAACAGATTGAAAAGCTTAAATTCAGTGGCTAGTTGTCTCCATGTTCTGCAAAATCTGTTGCTTTTACTGAAAAGCCGTAAGAACAGGAAAATATGAATCAGTTGATACTTGCACACCCCTCCAAAAGTTGCCTTCACCTGCAAGTTGTGTCATTTGTATTCACTGTTTTGGGGAAACCAGTTTTAGTAAACAGGACTTTTTCCAGCTACCTTATCGTAAGTTATTCTGTTCTCCTTGTGGCTTCAAAACCAACCCAACCCCCATAGCTTGCGATGGTGCAACAAATTAATACGAAAAGATGTTTCAGAGTTAAAGTAGTTGTAGTCAAAATTCTGCTACTTGGATATTTAAGAGGTAAATAATACTGCCACAGTGACTGGTGGGATCATACACACTGGTGTTTAAATTACACTTGAGCTGCAGTGGAAGAAACCTAATACCGAAATAACTCAGCTGAACTATTCCTTGCCCCTAAGGCAGACCTACTCCTGGTAAAAGACAGGGTTGTCATTTAGGTCTCTGGGAATATATGCCCACCTTTTTGTTTCTTCCATCACCATTCCTCTGCCGTTTGGGCTGCAGTATCCTACAGGAAGCTGAGTTTAGATCTGAATAGCAGCTACTGCTCTCACGGTGCTGTTTCAACTGCAGTGGCCTTGGAGAGGCAGAGCTACTGTTCTTCCAGTGACTGTGATCTAGCTGCTACACAGTTCTGCCTACCCCTTCCCTCACTCCCCATTACCCAGCTGCAGACCAATCCAGAGCTGTTCTACTTGGAGAGGCTCCTTGGCCTGCTGCAATCGCCAAGGTCTGCATACGCCACATATAAAAGCGTTAGCAGGGATGCAGTCCTTTGCCCATGCTCTAAGACTTTACAACAGCCTGACTGATTAAATCCGCTCGTTGAGTTCACGCAGTGCTAGGGAACACATGAACGGCAACAGAACTGCAGCTCCAAGGAATCCGCATTTCATCAGTGGAAAGGGAACGGTTTCTCTGGTGTTTTTCTCATTCAGAGCCTATATAAAAGGAGTAATTTTAGGCGGGCATGTTCTTTTATTAAGGTAGTCTGTTTATTACAGGATTTGTTCACCACAGGTTTCTATGCCAGCAAAGAAAGCAGTTTTAGCACCAGAAGGTAAGGAAGAGTGTGCAGCGAGTGCAGGGAGCAGTCCTCCATCTGCCTCTGCGTTCGGCACCTCTCAGGCCAGCACCGCCAGAGCAGCTGCGGCCGTCTGGATCAGCTCCCTGGACAGCAGTTCAAGTGCCGGCGTTAAGGGGGAAGATGGAGATGCAACAATAGTTGACCGAGTCCAGGAATAGCATGGCTTAGTTCACTGTAAAACCCTAATCCTAGAGGTACAGGCACTGTTCATTGTGCAGTTGGATCAGGGTTTTCTCTGAGCCTTGTCAGGAGATGGGCAAACGTGCTAAGTTTTTAAAGCCCTTTAATCTTGTTTTCAATACGCACTGGTTAACTCTCTCAATGGACTGTTTTTCTCAGGACTGAGGGAGGTAACAGAATTTACATAGAGCTGTTTTCCTGTATTGTTATTTTTAAGCCAACAAGTCAAAACTGTGAGTCTTTCAGTCGTAACTCGATTACAGTGCTAGCTTATACAGCAGGCTGAAAGTCAGTGATTCCGACAGACAATCACGTTCCTGTAGGTATCAGCGTGAGTGAGTTTTAAGTGCTGACTGTAACTGCCACTGTGTCTCGTTCTCTGCAAAGCTGATTTATACCTGCCGTGAAATACTTCTTCACGCTGCAGGGATTTTCAGTGACTGGTCATAAACTTTTGTAGAGAGATTAAGTGGCATGTTGCATTCTTGCTGCAGCCCAGCTCTGCAGAAGCATCTGGGAAAACCTAAAAGGCTCTCTGACTGTATACTTTTAAAAGTGGAGTCAATATTGGACTTAAGACCTAGAAATCACTCATTTCTACAACTGCAAATACATGAAGACAGCACTAGCAATAATTAACCAGTAACTTGACTAGGTACTTTTTAGGAAAGAACTGCAGAGAACAATGTTATGAACTGACTTTGTTTACAGTAGTCAAATGAATTAAAATTTAATCGGGGACTCCTTACCCACCCCTTTCAGTCCCCACACTAAGGCAATGCCTGAAGGAATAGCTTGCTCAAGCTTCAGCTCTCAGGCAAACAGCTCCACTTGAATGCCTGCTGCAGGTCGTTATTTGTTACAATAACTAACAACAGCCTTTTTAAGAGTCTGCTTTTTCTCCTGTCTATGTACACTTCCCACATACCCTTTAATACCCTTTTTGTCTGAATAAGTCAATCATGGTGTTGGTTCTTCCCTTAAACAAAAGGGAAACATAGTATTAGGAGGGAAGCTATTGAGTTCGGAAAAACGCTAGCTGCAAAACTGTTTAGAAACTCCTGTCCCAACGTTATCTGTCCTTCCTCTTCTATGGATAGAAAGCCTCATGGGATGACATTTACACAGCCAGGTTAGACTGCTACTTCTCCTCCCTTCATTTCCAGCCCCGTTGTTTAGGCCTGTACTTGAACTCCCTTGGTTCTAAGGCATGAGACCCGAGCTTTATGTAGCTGTTCATCTTACCGGCGCATGCGGCATCGGTGACTAGTCAGTCTTCTATAGGCATCCTGCAAATCGGTTCCAGAGCCTTTCCCCTACAGCACTTGCTCGAGGCCTGCAAAGATATACTGAGTTTTAGAGTAGGCACGGCCTATAACCAAGAATGGATTAAAGTTTTTAGTACCAGGTCTTCTATGTCCAGAAGCATCAATTTTTATAGCCACTGAGGTTCAGCACAGAGCACTGTTACCACTATCATACAGCCCTGTTGGATTAATTAATGCTCCTTGTAGCTGGCTTTCTAAAATCTAAGGACAAAGCAGTTCATACCATAATCTTGGTGTGAGGTTAGTTGCATCCACAAATTCCCCCCACAGGCAGGCTTCTCCACCTATTAAAAGCTTTTTCTGTTTTTCAGATCCTGAATTTAAAGCAGAAAGTTAGAATTTCTATTTGCCCAGAAGATGGGCACGTATCAACAATTTCATTTTCCAGTACTGATGCTCAGCTGTTTGCTTTACCATATAAAATACTTACCCTGAGCACTGAATTAACGTTTTGGCAGTCCTGTTACTGAACGTGGGAACAACCAGGCCCTTTGCCCAGAGAACCTGTTTCCTTTCTGTCAGAAACTATTTTATCTTTCATTCTCTGAAGACATTCCCCAGCCTTACGACATCCTTCCGCTACTTCAGCCCTGACTGAAACCGTTCATTCTATCACAGACAGAACACTGCCTGAAGAAGGTACAGACTTCTCCCTGACCACCTCTGAGAGCTATCTTGTGCAAAATGGAAGCCCCCGTGGAAAGCATAAGATGTTTATATCAGCTTTAGCCAGAGGGAGAAAACATGCCTTTTTCTGCAACAGCATGCAGCAAAAAAAAAAAAAAAAAAAACCCCAGCATCTGTCTGCCAACAGCCATTTCGCACAACTCTGCCCCTGTTGCATGATGCATCTGTTATCCTTTCCATTTACACCTCACTATGCACCAAACGCTTCCATGCACCAAACATGCATGTATATATATATATATATAAAAAAAAGTAACAAACCAGGGAAGTTAAGCGGTTCAACGCTGTAGTATTTCTTCCAGTCTTGCCCATAACTAATGTAGTCTAAGTACCATGGAGCTGCCAGGATAGCAGTGAACCCAGCTCCAGTGACGCTGCTCAGTTCATGGGCGTAGTTGTTTTCCATCCACACTTCAACTACAGTGTCTGGTTTCAGCTAAAAGAGGGCAAAACAAAACCAAAACAGTGAAGACTATCCTAGTTGCTGTAAGGATGATGGATTTCAAAAATGGGTATTTTGCATTGAAGAGGAATATTTTGGAAGCTACCTTTTGTCATTTTCCCCCCCGCTGCGGTCTAAAGCAGATTATCTCTTTGTTGGTTTTAAGCAGAGTTCACACTGGACTGAAGCCCAGTTACACTACAGATAGCTAATGCCCTAAGAGAGGTCCTACACACACCAGTTATCTGACCAGCTCTGAAAAGCTGAGCACCTAGTGTTACTAGACCAGATGCACAGTTACCTGATTAAAAAAAAGTATGGAAACTCATAGAATCTTCCCTACCCTTTACTCCAATGCTCTGAAGCACACTATATTACCTGTGTTCACTTCCAGAAAGCACTTCAGTGTTGGTGTTCCTGTTCCACCTATTTTACATGTCAATAAATGATAATTTCAAAGCAGGCCCCACACCTGGGGAGATTTGCTAAAACTCAAGAGACCCAACCATAGCTACCTAATGGCCTGCTTCGGGAGCCGCTCACAATACTGTGCTGTAACGCAAGACTATCTCTCTTCCCCACCTTACCTGCGCTTTATTATCAAACACTTCTTGCCACACCATGTATCCTTTGTTATAGGAAGCAACAATGTCCAAAATCCTAAAATTTAGGAAGAAGATCATGCTTGTGAGATCAGTACAGGCACATGAAGCAGCAACATTTTTTACTCCTAATGCCTATCAGGCCTTTCCCAGCAATAGGGGGCCGAGAAAAATCCTTTTTTTTTTTTTTTTTCTGTTTTTGGCCTTCAGTGCTCTGCCTCAGCGAGGATGTTCCCCACGTACGAGGATATGCACGTGCAGTAACACTAACGGATGTCCAGAAATACCACCAACTCCTTCAGGCGTCTAAATTCTAAGGCAAACAAGAGAAATTACATGGCTTCAGAAACCTTATGACTTACCCTCCCTGACCTGTGTGCTGAACTTAAGAGCAGCCACATTCAGATCATGCACATAATTAGCCTACACGTCCTCCTTGCATCCCACGTTGTAAGGCTGCGAACTTCACATTCAGTGCGTGAAAATAAAAGAAAGGGGGCACTCCCCGATACACAGCAATTTCTGACAACAGTACAGGCTAACCTAAATCAGCTTCGGCATCTGCACCCCCACACCACCCCCAGACAGTGGCTGGTATAAGCCGGGGAAAGGTTAAAAAAAAAAAAAAAAAACAACACTTTCAATA